AAGAGTAATATAGAGTCGTTGAAGCCGATTTTAGATGAAGATGGCATGCTACGTGTAGGAGGTAGATTGGAGAGATCAGAGCTCGATTACGAGATGAAACACCCCTTTATCATCCCGCATCAGTGTCGCTTGGCAAAGCTGTTGATGGATTACGCACATAGGAAGACTCGACACGGGGGAATACAAGTGATGATGCAGTTTATACGTAAAAAATATTGGATTCCGAAGCTGAGAAATTAAGAAGTTGAATAAAGTTTCAGTATTCAGACGACAATAAAGACAATCAGACGTTTCATTTCATTTGAATACCCAACATCAAAATTTCCGGAATCATAATACAATTTTCCATAAAATACATCAACGTACTGTTGTTTTTTTCTGGAAATTCTTATAAATTTCCTAGGCAAAATCAGAATAAAAGCTGAACGCTATGAAAACGGTGCGGAAAAGTTCGTCTTACGGAGGTAAGACTATTTATTTCCATTTGCATTCGACGCGCTTGCACTCACTGCGATATCTCTTTGAAAAAGAAGTTCCAAATATACTTATTGACTGTTTGTGTTTCTCATGTCAAATTTCGACAAATTATCCATTGCGACATATGGGTCCTTCAACTTCGTAGCCATCCAGTGAGCTGTCCAGCCGGCATGTCTATCCAGTAGCGAGAAAAATGCAGAAAAAACGTCTTTTCCACTCAATGCTGAGTTTGAATAGTACTGAATAACTGTTTGTGCGGTAAATGAAGAGATACCTATAGACTTTGAAAGAGATACAAAATCCGATTTGAGGGCCAATTTAAACCCTATGAATAGCACGGTAGCTCGTTCCATGCAGTATTCAGCGCTTAAATCGTGCAGACCAGGACTTGAATGTATTGGTGAGTTGCACCGATAATATATAAGAAAATTGAACATTCTTGTGTGTTTCTCTTTATTTGTTTACACATAGGAACAAAAAAGAGTGCAAGAATATCTCTTGATTCGTTACAAAACGGAGAATCCAACAATATTCGAAAAATAAAAAGAATTACATTGGTAATCCCGAACTTTTCCGTACCGTTGGCCTGCGTTGTCCGTAGGTACTTTTGGTTATTTTTTGTGAATTTTCTTGAAATAAAGGCAGTGAAAATATAATAATGAAAATAAAGTGAAAAATCGGTCACTTTAACTAAAACTTCGACATTTTACTTTTCCGTACACAACGTGTCAAGGGAAAGTATAGGAATTGGTCCCGAAAACTTTTTTCGCAAAATTAGCTTAGATCATCATAAAAACTCATGAAACGCGTAGAAAACCACTTTTTGAGACACTTTTCCGTTCGTGTGCCGTCGTTGTCGTTATCGTTGTCGTCGTTGTCGTCGTTGGTGTCTGTTAACACGATAACTCAAAAAATAATTGAGATAATCAAAATCTGGAAATGTCAAAAGTTTTGTATTCGAAAAACTTAGTTTAAGTTCGAAGATGAACCATTTTCGATCTGATCCTGGGGTACTTGCCCTAAGAAAAACCTCAAAAAATCAAGCCTCGATTTCATGTATTACTTTACATTAAAGCCGTCAAATGACTGCTGCTAGTGACGTCTCACTGCGACAAAGTTAACTACAGTATACACCGTGCACTTCTTCTTCTTCTTCTTCTTAACTTATGCCATTTTTTTCTGTTGAGAGTATGAAGCTTACGTTGTCGCAGTGAGATGTCGCTTCAGCACCATATGGAAAAAGAAATCAAGACTCGCAAAAAATTGACACTTTTGTATGGGAGGTACCCGTAAATCGACTCCGATTGGCTTCAAACTTTCTGAGGTTTCATTTTTTGGAGAAAAAATAAGATTCTGAAAGTTTCATGTTGATCCATTTGCAGAAGTTTGATTTTTTGTCCTCAATTTTTGTCGACATTTTCTTGGAAAAAATTGAGGGCCAACAACCAAACTTCTGCAAATGCGATCAAGATGAAACTTTCAGAATCTGATTTTTTCTCCAAAAAATGAAACCTCAGAAAGTTTAAAGCCAATGAGAATTGGTTTACGCATACCTCCCATACAAAATTTTAGAAATTTCGACTAAAATTACCGATTTTTTGTAAATCGATTCCTATTGGCTTCAAATTTTCTGAGGTTTCATTTTTTAGAGGAAAAACAAGATTCTGGGAGTTTCATGTTGATCGTATTTGCAGAAGTTTGGTTTTTGGTCCTCAATTTTTTTCAAGAAAATGTCGACAATAATTGAGGGCCAAAAACCAAACTTCTGCAAATGCGATCAACATGAAACTTTCAAAATCTTATTTTTTCTGTGAAAAAGTTTGAAGCCAATAAGAATCGATTTACGGGTACCTCCCATACGAAATTGTCGAAGTTTTGACTAAAGTGACCGATTTTTCAAGAATATTTTTAAAAAATCCAAAAATACGGACAACGATACGGAAAAGTTTGGGATTACGAATGTAATTCTTTTTATTTCATTATTATTTCATCATGTACAATTATTTATCTAATTTCTTTCGCAGTGTGATTACAGTTCAAGTGAATTTGAATAAAGCAAAGGTAAAAAGCGTGCATTTTTGATGATTCCCATTTGTTATAGTGCAATTTTATCGGAAAAAAAATTTGTCCAGAAAACTTAAGATTTCAGAAAACTTAAGAATCCGAAAAACAAACTACTTAAGATTTATGAGAGAGCACTGTACTGGTTCCTGTAAATCATAATGTTGTAATAGTTCTTTCGCTCAAGCTATTCAGCATTCCCCGTGATGAGCGAATCGGTAATCTGATGAGAAAAAAAAAACGAAATCAATCAATATTTGTTCGTTTGAGAAAAATCTTGAAATACTTACTACTTCCACTTCCGTGGTTATAATTCTCCATGGCGATTTTGTCGCGAAAGATCATGTAGCTGTCACCATCCCTGGCACAAATGAGGGCATTGGTGAGTCCAAAAAGACCAACGATGACGGCGAGGACGACAAGCAAGAACTTCATTTTGACTTAGTAATTGCACCGATTGAGTGAAACTGATGCTTATCCCAGGGTTTGTTCGTTGTATTTATATCGATCTATTGTTTCCCAATTTTGGTTATTTTCGTTTCCTTGTTTGAACAGGTGT